CACAATATGAGATTACATCATAGTCTCTAATTCAATGCTATACTTCTTTAATCTTTCCAAACATCATACCAAAATTTAATTAACATTAAGAATACAACTCATTCTAACTGTTCAATAAATTCATAACAACATCATCACATATAATGCATATTACAGGTCAATCAACAATTAATAGAAAATCAACACTCATCCTATATCAAATATCAAACATCAAACACCACAACGATATCAACTCAGCATCTAACCTAAACTCCTAACCGTATGATATTTACGTTCTCTATTTTCATGTCTAAGCGAATAGAGGAAAGATGAGTTCTTTCAAGTTCTCTCACCTCGGTCTAAACGATGAACCCCGAAAGATTCGCTCTAATCCTCGATCTCAGGTTCAACAACCTCGAGATTTTCTTCACCGATAAATAATTGTCATATAATAATTTTAATCAATAATTTATTTTTCAACAATATTTACTACAGTAAAAAAATCTTAGTCGAAATTTTTATCGTTTAACTGTTTTATTTTGAAACCGTTCAGATATCTCTAAATACTTTGAATTTTATAAAACGGATTTTGAATTTGGAACCGCGGGGCTAAAACGATTTAACCCATGTCATCAGAAAATTTTCCGACAACGGTGGCAGTTCGGCGGTGGTCGGCGGCCAATGGCCAGTCGGCGATGGCTGTCATATATCCCAAAATAATCTAATTTTTATGTATCCTATGTAAAATCAATCAAAGAATCCAAATTTGAAGTTATTTTGGTCTAAATCGGTCTAAAACACCATAGATCTAAGTTTTTCTCCGATAGTTCTCGGTGGTTTTTCGACGAGATTCCATCGTTTTCGACAATCACACTATCCAGAAAATATTGGACTCATCAAGAGACTTCCAAAACCGAGCCTCCATTCGCCGGAAATCGAAAAACTTAGTGGCAATGGAGGAGAAGCTTACCCATGGTGGGGGAAGAAGAAAAAGAATGAAAAAGACTAAGGAATGGAGAGAGAAACAACCGACGGTGACTTTCGGTGGCAATGGGGCAGTGGTCGGCA